CAAGATTTAATGGAATATAAGAGAGAACAAGCAAAAGTAAAAGAGGTGGTAAGAAGGGCAAAAAGGCAACATTGGAGAGATTTCTGTGACAGAATAGGGAAAAGTACATCAATAGAAGAGGTATGGAATATGATCAGAAGGATGAATGGAATAAGGAAGGAGATAGAATATCCTGTTTTAAATGAAGGGGAAGTCATAGCAGTAGAAAACAGTGAGAAAGCAGAAATGTGTTGTAATACATTTATAAAAGTAAACAGTATGGAAAATCTGACTGAAGAATTTAAGAGGGAACGGGAGGAAATATTGAAAGAGCATCCTCATCTATTGGACAAAAGTGAGGAAAGAGATAATATAATGGATGTCCCATTTGGAATGACGGAACTAAAACGAGCGCTGAGGAGAATGAGAGAAACTACTCCTGGTCAAGATGAAATCAGCTATTATATGATCAAGCAGTTAAGTGAGGAATCATTGAAGAAGATATTAAGGAGATGGGGATAAACAATTATAGATGTACACCAAGAGTAATGTATCCACATAACCCCTTATAATAACAATAAATTACACAAAGTTATACCAAATGTCAGTTCTGAAATCATTATATAATTTATTACAACATCTTTCAAGCGATACCGTTGACTTGATTGCAAAGATACTATTTAAACTGAGCTGGATGTTGACATCACTGAATTCAATGATGAACTGTCTTTAACTGAAAAATTTGTGTTTACTATTGTCATTTTGCATTATTGACACTATTTTCCTAATTAATGCTGTTCAGTTGCTTTGACACAATCTGTATTGTTAAAAGCGCTATATAAATAAAGGTGACTTGACTTGACTTGACTTATGGATTCTTCCTCAGCCAGTAGTAGATTTAACATTACTAAAGATAAGACAGAGAGAAGGAAGTAATGAGATGGAAGTAATAAGAGCAAAGGAGTATTTAGGACTTATGTATGGAAATAATATACGGATATACACAGATGCCTCCAGAAAAAGAGGGAGAGTAGGAGTGGCAGTTAATGTGCCAAAGTTACTGATGAAGAAAAAAGCTAGAATAAGTGATCAACTGTCAGTATATACAGGTGAATTGATGGCTATTCTGCTAGCAGTACAACTAATTAAGGAAAGAGAAATACAAAATGCGGTCATTTGTTCAGATTCATATTCAGCAATAGTCATTATTGATAACCAAAAGTCAGAATCAAGGCCAGATTTAATAATGGAAATCCTTCAAAATCTCTTTGAGTTAAAACAGAGTAGAATAGAAGTACAGTTTATGTGGGTTCCAGCGCATGTGGGAATTAAAGGAAATGAAGAAGCAGGTTCATTAGCTAAGCAAGCAGTAGATGATGAAATAGTAGAGTTATCACATAGCATAAGAGAAATAAAATCAGTAATAAAGGAGAAAGTGATTAAAAAGTGGCAACAGTGTTGGGATAATGAGACTAAAGGGAGACATTTATATGCAATACAAAAGAAAGTGGGAAAAGGTAGAAAAAGTGGGAGAAATAGGAGGGAGGAAAGTATAATTACAAGACTAAGATCAGTAATAAAGGAGAAAGTGATTAAAAAGTGGCAACAGTATTGGGATAATGAGACTAAAGGGAGACATTTATATGCAATACAAAAGAAAGTGGGAGAAATAGGAGGGAGAAAAGTATAATTACAAGACTACCCTTACGAAAAAGAAGTTTATTCAAGTGTGCTATTAGTATACTTCTTTTAAACTAAAAAATAGGAAAGCATACTTTTAGTCTACTTTTTTATGTACTTCCCAGAAATGGGCTTTATGTACTTCTCAGAAATATACTAAAATGACATTTAAGTATACTTGACTTATACTGAGGAAAAAGTCTAAATATATTTGAGCTATACTTGTGCTCCTAGAATCCGTGTTTTCATTGTTATCCGGTAGGGGGCACTAGTACATATTTTCTGTACAGAATTTTCAAAAAACACAAGTGAAGAAGAAACCGAAACAACAGACGCTTCCCACATGTATTCTAACATGATCATCAGACATAAAACAGCATCAAAACTGTGCAATGTTATGGAATAAAATGTCGACCAATGAAGAGGTAATAATGACTGTCAAGCTTTGGGGTATTGATCGACTTTATCTACGTTTTGATTATCATTCTGAATCCAATAGTCTTTTTTCAGCTTTTTATTCAAAATGTTGTTTATTTCTTTATTTTTTATTTATGAAACTTATCCACATTCAAGTGTTAAAAAAAAAGAATGCATGAAGCTACAATAAAATGTTTTTGTTTACAAGCAGATACCCTGTTCTTTTGATGTTTTGTATGTTCAGATATTCATGTAACAAAATATATACAAATGAATACCTAAATAGG